AAATGTTGGCCTTTTTAGTCTTAGACCTGGATTTTGGACAAAACAACAACTGGAGTTGGAGAAAGAGATGGCAGGTGGGATTCAGACCTTTCACAGTGACGCTGTCAGGGGACAGAACCTCTCACGTGGGTGTTCACCTCTGGGGCAGCTTAGAGAGAACTGTCTACCACAGTGGGTTTTGTTGGGATCCCTGGTGTTTGTGACATATATAGAGTCCCAGGTGGGTGGGCAGGACTGACTTTTACAAGCCCTTTGAGTCTATTTTGTTTTGTCTGTTTGTTTTGTTTCTTATCTCTTTTAGAACATGCTTCTAGAACTTTCATCTATTATGAAAAAATAATGCATGCCTGGGGCCAGAAAAACGGACCCAGGAAGAGCTGGCATCTGCAGGAGAAAAGCTGTGCCTTTGTCACCTCAAACTGTAGGAATAACTGCAGGAACCACTTCCCTCCAGAGTCACCTGTGGGGAAATGATGTATACAGGGCGCTCCCAGCTGGGCTCACCTCCAAGGAGACCCTCCCTGACCCCGCTTGGCCACACTGCCTGAGGCAGGGCTGGAGCTCAGGCAGGGAGGAGCTCTACACCATCAGAGAAAATCTAGGGGCAAGAGCTGCTGCCTCCCCGAGGGGAGGAGGCTTGGGCTATGGCTACTCCCCCAACCCAGCAGCCCAGTGGGACACGTTGCCGAGAAAGCCCTCCAGCTCTGCAGTGGCAGCTGCAGCAGCAGTTTGGGCCCTTGAACTCGTTCCAGAGCAAGCTGGGAGCTTGCCCTCAGCCTGGGCTCAAACATGCTTCCTGTCTGTAAAGGAGAGGTTGACGAGGAACTTTTCCTTCTCTTCCTGTCATCATTTCCTGGGGATGAACCAGCTGGATTTTTGTGCATAAATGCCATGACATAAAATATTGATCACAGCCCTGGCAAACACTCATGTTGCATGACTTTATCCTTCTGCTGGGATCCTGCATTGTCAGTGGTGATGCCATGACTGTGGGCCAACAGGTGACTGGCAGGATCTCATTCTGGACTTCCAGGGGAGCAACTGAAGCCAACGTCTCTTCCTCACCCTCCCCGTGGTCCTGAGCTATCCAGGAAAGATGCATCAAAAAGCGCTTAACACTTCTAATGAGCACTGAAACATGGACAGCTGTGTGACGAGCACTAACCATCCAATCAGTGAAGCTCGTTAGCTTGTTGTTACTGTCATAAAGAGCCATAAAGGTGGGCTCAGTTCCCATGGAAGGAGCCACTTAGTTCCTCCATCCTCCATCCCATGGCCAGACTCCCCTAGCCCTGACCACTTACCTTCTAATAAAAGCTTCAAGTTATTAGGAGAATCAATTTGTCCCAAAGTCACAATTTGGCCCTGCATCATCCATGTCCTGTGAGCTAAAATCCAGACCCCTTAGCCTGGCACACAGTCTTCAGGCGCTGGCCCCTGCCTTATCCTCATTCCCTGCATCATGCCCCCTAACACAGCTGCTTGCAGCTTTCTTGCTCCTCCCTGTCACCTCCTCCCTCCCACCCAGCGGTGGGCTGCTGAGCAACCTCCAACCCCTGTGTGCCTGCCTTTTGGGGACTCATTATTTCTGATGAAGACAGTTCCAGCATCTCCTTCTCAGCCAACTGTTTCCACCCATCAAGACTTTCTTTGTATCAGCCTTATAGTAAATATAGTGATGGGTACCTTTTTTTTTTTGTAGATGATAGATAATTTTTATTTTTTGCAAAAGAGGCACATAGAAGATGCATCTTATTTCTAGGAAGCACCTTCTAACCGTCAGAGGTGAGCTCCCCATTACACCTTCTGTAATGATATATAAAAACCAGCCTCTTTCTGAGGCTGGGTGTGATTGTTAATTTTATGTGTCAAGTGGATCACTAGGTGCCCAGATATTTGGCTAAACAGTACTTCTGGGTATGTTTGTGAGGGTGTTTCCAGATGAGGTTAGCATTTGAACTGGGGAACTGAGTAAAGCAGACTGCCCTCCCCAGTGTGGGTGACCATCATCCAACATGTTGTGGGTCTGAAGAGAATAAATAAGTGAAAGAAGGGTGAATTTCCTTTCTCTGTTTGAGCTGGGGCATCAGTCTTCTCCTGCTCCTGGACCGGGACTTATATCATGGGCTCTATAGTTCTCAGAACTATGCCCCTAGCTTTCCTGGGTCTCAAGCTTGCAAAAGGTACATGGTGGGACTTCTCAGCCTCCATAATTGCATGAGCCAATTCCTTATAATAAATCTCTCATCAATCAATCTATCATCTGTTATCTATCTATATCTATCATCTATCTGTCATCATCATCTACCTACTATCATCTATCTATCATCTATGTATCTACCTATCATCATCATCATCTATCTTCTGTCTGTCATCATCTAGCTCCTATTGGTTCCGTTTTTCCAGAGAACCCTGACTAATACACTGTATAATCGCCTGGGATGTTGCAGAAGGGAGCCCAGTGTTGGACGGGGCTGGTCTGTGCTTCTAGCCCAAACGGCTCCTGAGTCTTCTTTCCTCACATTTTGCAGAGGTGGAAATGAGGTGCGGAGACATGAAGAAGTGTGATCTGTTCCACAGTGGGTTGGTAGAAGAGCCAGTGAAGACCAAGTGGTGAAAATGACACTGGGACCAAGCCCAAACAGGTGCCATTTTAAAGGGCAGACCATATTCCAGGTGCTTAAGACACATTATCTATACCTTGTACAACTGTGTAAAGTTATTGTTTGCCCCTACTTTATAGGTCAGAGAAGGCTCAAAGAGATTAAGTAACTTGCCCCACAGCTACAGGTCACAGAGCTGATGTGCCTGCTGCGCAGCTGGAATTCAAACCCAGATCTAGCTGCTTCAAGGCCCATGCTCTTCCCAGGAAGCCCTGCTCCCTCTCTTGTCCGTAACAATCAGCAGCCTCCAGGCAAGGATTTATTTGTACATCTGTCTGCCCGACTAACCTGTGATAGCTTTAAGGATAAGGCCTGTGCATTTTAAATCCAGGATGCCCAGCATGTAGGACAGTGTTGGTTGAATGAATGTATGTTATGTATAGATGCCAAGGATGATACATTACCCATTGCTTCCAATTCTCCAGTTTTTATTCCTTATTCACTGGTGTTCTGTCATGTCTTGTTAACAGGTTTGTTATGAGAGACTCACTCAGAAAGCTGTGTGGCCATGTTTTTTTCCCATTTTTTTGTAATTTAAATTTCCTTCACCCTCAAAAGCCTTTACAGGGTAAACAACTGTACTGCCCCATAGAGGATAAAGATTGAAAGGACCCAGTATAAATGTAACGTCTCCAGTAACTGCTGGCGTCTCTCTGAAGGTTTCTACCCATTGCTTTAGGACGAGGGTCACTGTCTCAGGCATGCCCTTGTGTCAAAAGGAAAGAGTAAAAGCCAGCCATGGAGAACCAGTCATGCCTCTGTCTGGTTGACTCAGAAGGCCAGTATGTTGGGATGTGTAGGAGCCAGGGGTGGGTGTGGGGACAGAAGGCATCATGCTCTTCAGTCAAATGAAAGGAAAGACACTTGCATAATGGGATGTGGGATGGACAGCTGTCTACATCTCTCTGGGCTTTGATTCTTTGACTACAGGAAGTATCATGTTCATTTATACCAGGAAGGCAAAGGTGCTCAATGGGGAGAATTGGAAACCCGTTCCACTCTGGGCCCCACCACAAGCTGGTGTTAAACATCAAGTACTTTCTTGCTAATGCATCCTCATTGAGGGGGCAGGGAGGTGGGGGAGGGTTGAAGAAGAGTGAAAAATTCAAGAACTATTTCAAAGAACAGCTCAGTTATTTCCAAATACCGACAACAGAACTGCTGGCAGGGCCTGGTGTAGGGGTAGCTAATCTAAGAATTCTCATTGTGCCCTGGAAGGAGCTACGAATCCCTCTGAAGGTGCGCATTCAAAGCAGGAAAGACAACGGCTGCTGCCGTGTGGGGCTGGCAGTGTTTGAATGCTTCTCTTCCGTGGGACACAACAGCTTCATTCTGTAGCCAACCACGACTGCCGTTCCAGCGACAAGCACAAATGTCAGGGTTGAAGGTGCAAGTGCCCATCAGTTCTAAATGACCAGGTTTCCTACAGAAAATTTTGGGACTGTGACTCATCCCTTTTTCCTGGAATGGACTGAATAACTTCATTTCTGTATTTTACCTCTCACACCTAAAACGTTATGATAATGACATTTTCAGAACGGTGCCCATTTGCCAACCCAGTGATATGCTCCCTGGCAGCCCTCCTTGATTCAGCAGGCCGCCCGTGGAGACCTGCCTAGAGGAGAATTCAGCAACTTTTAATTTTAGTTTTCCCAACTGGCAGATAGGGTGCGGCCACGCACTTCTTGAAGCTCAGATTTCAGCAGTGCTGCACCCTCCCCAGGTAACGTGAATTCACTATTTACAGCCTCACTGACAGCTCAGCCAGCCGGCTCCTGAGACCAGTGTCACTCGTGGTCATCTGGACTGCCCACCATTCAGCATCTCATTTTCCCTTTACATCAAAATCCAAGACTCAAATTACCAAATACATCTTTCTGGTTTAACTGCATTTAACTGTATCCTAAACTCCTTGCCCTGCAATTCATTGTATCTTGGTGTTGGTTTAATGTCCTTCCCGCATTTACTTTCATTTAGATTTTTGTTTTAAATTAAGCCTTTGAGATAATTGTGTAGATTCACACGCTGTTGTAAGAAACAATACCTTTCACCCAGCTTCCCCCAACGGTGACATTTTCACAGCTACAGCACACTATCCGAACCAGGAAACGGGGTTTAATGCCTTTTATCTACTTTCATAGGCACTAGGGATTTTTTAAAACTCAGAGCTGAGGAATCACAGTGGCATTATCACATTTTTTAGATTTCTAATCAGATAAATCAGGTAGCAGGTGAGAGTCCAAACCAGAGGACGAGACACGGTTTCTCTGGGAGAAAAGATTTCCTAAGGGCCCCCAGCTCTGTGACCCATAACACAGGGATAGGAGGCAGAGAAAATCAGTTTACAATGCATAATGATATGTCTTTATTTCATCAACAGAAATGGTGTCTAGACAAAATTCAGTTAACACTAGCAATTCAACTGAGTGAAAATTTTTTTTTTGCACAATAGTGTATTTACAATGAGTAAATGAAGTTTCAATTCATTAGTTCATAGCAATGCTTTTTTCCCAAAAAGGTAAAAATTCTTAGTTACAGAGAATAAGCATCAACAGCCATTTCATTTTTACAATAAAAACCACAAGAAAAACCACAATCACTTAGAAAAAAAAGACAAGCCTAAGAACTAGTACAATAAAATGATGCACTGAATTAAGTTACATTAATCGCATAGAATCTGTGTAAAAAGTATGTAGAAAAACACCTGATGTAACCTGTTACAGTCGTTGACCAGTTATGAGAGGTACAGAGGGTTATACAGGTAGATATGTGTGGAACTGTCCGTATTGTTCGACCTGGGGAGGAAGAGAGGCGGGGCTGGAGCCCCTTGCATACACTGAGAAGACCCTGTTTTGAATATGGCCTCTGGAGTTTGTAAGGCATTTATTAGAGGTGCACTTGCATCAGACTGGTTCTGGAACAAATTCTCACAGGCCCTTTTGGCCTCACAAGCAAAGGTGGTGCTTGCCTCGCATGGCTCACTGTGTGTAACCAGCACCCAAAGCTCCCGGATGCACCTGGAATCTTCCTGGTCACTCACTGCTAGTGGCAGGTCTTTTATGACAGAGTGTGAATGGGCACCCCAGCATTGACACATGCAAAATGCATTGTTAGGACTCAAGGGGTCACTCCTCTGCCTCCAGACATGTTTTGGTAGAAGACTTAGCATCAATCTGTAGGAAAAACCCTCTTTGTTGAAGTCCCTTCACTCTTTCCTGATAAAGACGTCCATCATCCCCATGGGAGCATTTGGCACTGAACGCGGGTCTACCTAAATGAATGGTCTCGGTGCACTTCTGCTTCTAAGGAGGGCCACTGTTTTATCTGAGGTCAATAAAGTGGAATGAAAATGAAAGCCAGAGTCGCTTATCCATTGCTTGAGAGTAAAATGCATACACCACGTCACAACATTAAATCAAATCTACGAAAGTGGGCCTCTGCAACCAAGTGGGTATTCTTCACAAAACGGCAGCATCATTTTCATATCACAATCAAAATGCACTGATATTCATTTGATATAAATATTATCTCCCAGGGTGGAGTGTAGGAAAATACTATACACTTACTTTTCTTTGCAAGAAATGTTTTTGCACCGTCAGTTGAATAATTTATCCTCAATCTGCCACCATAGGTCTTTTCTATGTACAAATACTACTTGCACACACTATCTGTGCACAGATATATTCTATTCTACAGCATCAGTCTTTGATGCTTGGGTCATGAGATGGCTCGGGCAGTACTGAAAACACGCAGCTTGAACACAGAATGCCTCCACACACACAGACGTTCTGCACGAACACCGACCCCACACAGGGCGTTGTGCTGTGGACTGACTTGGCAGGGACTGAACCTACAACAAAATCCTCGATTTTGCGAAGAAACACTAACTCATCACACAGTGAACAGCTTTATTCTTAAAAAAAAAAAAAAAAAGTTCCTTAGTCTATTTACAGTGATTTGAGGACAAAACTTGATTCTTCCTCCTTCTGGATCTGTGACTCCTCCAAAACTATAAGCAAGAGTGGAGCAGTTTGAAGTCATTTATTAAGCAGCTCCTACTTCAAATGGGGTGTAATGTATAGAGACAGGCAGCCAGATCGGGGTTTGAAAGAGCCTTGTAGGCTTGTCCTCATTTTGAGTGGATTATGCTCCTCCATAGCACGTGGAGCAGCTCGTAGGGGCAGGACCAGGCGGTTTCTTGAAAGGTTTATAATTTTGTTTCTTTTTCTTTAATGGCAATCATAAAGTATTAAAAGAGAAAGTGTAGGTTTAGACCTCTTGACCGCACTGGCCGTCACACTGCGCCCCTGACTTCAGCAGTCCTCGCTGCAAGTCCTGGAGCTGGTCCCTGCCCTCCTTTTTAAGGAGAAGGGGCAGTTGGCATAGCAATCACTAGCCTTTTTTTACTTCCTTGGGAAAGCAACACAAGGATTAAATCCCAAATCATAGTGCATCTTAAAAGCAGCATACCTTTAGAAAGACAGTTAATAAATTACTTGTACAATACACAAAATAACGTTTCTACTGCAGCATCACCTCTGACGCCTGAGTCATTATTCGGGAAACCGGAGGAGAAGTGGCAGGTTGGCCCAGGAACTTTGCCAGCTCTTTTGTTTGTTTTTGCAACTGTTTTGTTCCAGAATCAGTATGTCTTGAAGTTTGATTTTATTCAAGGCACCCCCAGATAACGCAGAGAAACAGACACATACAGCAAAACACTCACCTGCCCGCAGCCTGAGCAACCTGAACAAGGGAGGTTGTCTGGAGACAGAAGCAGAGCAAAGGCAGATCAAGGGGAGGACTAGATTCAGGCGGATGTTAATTAGCCCCACAGCCACCTCCACTGTCCCCGTGTCCCTATAAAGCATGCTGCCCTGGCCACCTGGAGATTCCTAAACAGTCCATGGCTGGAGGGTCCTTTATTTTTGTAAGGAAGGACTCTTAAAAACACAACTAAATGTCAACATGCTGTGCAAACACTATCCCTTGCTGTTTACTGCTTTTCTTTATCATAAAAGACATGGGCTTCGCCAAGGGATCCCAGAGAAAGGAGACGGGCTCCACTTGAGGCCATTCGGATTCTGGCCCCCAGCTAGTCCTCCCCTTGAATCAACCCAGAAATAACTTTGACAAACACATGGTTCAGAGTAGTAAACACAAAGACGCATCACATAAACAATTGCACAAAGCCAGTCGCTGTTCTTGGTAGATAGTGAACAAAATAACAACAACTTGTTAAAAAATCTCTCAGAAATCGAAAGAGTCTTTTGAGCAGTGTTTTTAACCAGTTCCCACCGCAGGGGTTTGGTGGGGGAAGAGGAAGAAAAGCGAGGTGGGGGTTGGTGGGAGGAGGATGTGGGCTGGGTTAGGGTGGAGAGAAATAAAGAGACCCCTCCCCACCCGGAAACGGCTGCCGGGCAGGTGTGCAAGGACCCAACAACAGAAAGGGGAGCGGACGGAATGTGGTCAAGACTACCAGTTGCACATGAGTTGTCACCAGGGTAAATCACGCCAACAAGCTGGTTTGGACCTGGTTATGATATGAGCAGAAAACATTCGTTTTTTTTTTTAAAAGAAGAGGAGGTCACTTAAAAAAGGCAACAAGAGAGTTAAAAACAAAATACTGTTGGCTGACTCTCCACCGTAACACATACCTGTGATGTATCAGGTGATTCACATTGAGTCTGAATTCGAGCTGTCACCAGTTTCCCACGGAGGCAAACCTCACGGTGCAGCACAGAACCCTTCTCCTGGGCCAAGAAATTCCAACAACCGTAACAAAAACGGTGGCTCTCACACAGAGCTTTATCAAAATCTGTCTCAGACAGGCACACACACGTACATACACACATGAGAAAGAACAAAAACCCAGAGGCAGGTTTTAAAAGTGGAGCTATTTTAAAAGAAAAGCCTTTAAAAAAAAAAAAAATCCTACTGCATGATCCAACAAATTTCTGGCATCCATACATATTTAAACATTTAGCGCTAATATTTGTACAGAAAAAAGTTAATAATACTAAAACATATGTTACTATGATTTCACTTTTCGCCTACATCATATACTAATTTCCCCTTTTACATGCAGCTTTAATATTGTCCAAACAATGGCACAAATAAAGAAACAAAGTCAACCATCTAGTCCCCACTGCCCACCACCCCATCCCCACATCAAACCATTCATCTGGGACTCTCCCCAAGCCAGGCTGGAGGGCCCACGGGAGGGAGGGAGCTGGTTCCTCCTCCTTTGTGGCTGCGGGATTTGGGCACACCTTCCTGTAAACGTGCCAGGGGCCAACATGCCCCCAGAGCCAACGGAAGCTGCTCTGTGGGTTGCAAGCCAACAAGTTTTGCAGCAAGAGAAGAAAATTATCATCAGGTGAGGGTAGGTGTGTGTAGTGGGGGCAGGGAGGCCTCCTGGCCATATCTTGTCCAAAGCCTGGAATGAAATTTGCCTTTGGACAAAAGACCGGTGGAAAAACCTCAGAATTCAACTCAAAGCATCTGGAGAAGGAAAGGAGAAAGAAATGTTTCCGCGTGCATCAGGAACAGACCTCAGGCTCACATCTGCCCTGCTCTCTCCTACTCTGGGCGAGCTGCACTGATCCCCTTAGAGGCAGGACTCCCAGGGCTGCCTCTCAAATGCCCTCAGGCGAGATGTCCTGGGAGGCTGGTCCTGGGCAGGGAAGCTGGGTGGCCGGTCAGCCAAGTCCTTCAAAGGAGAAGGTCCTACAGCACGACACTTCCAGGAGCAAGCAGAGGCTCCAGGAAGTGCTGAAATGAATGGGACTTACTCCCTGCGTGAGCACACGGTTCTAACTCGATTTCTAGGAGCCGATGCCTGCTGAGCTCTGGTGTAAAATCAGGAATTCCTGCTGTTTGGATGCACTTTTGAGTGAGACGTCCAAACTCTCTCCCCACTCGGGAATCTGAACATCCGGCATCAACTTTGAACTCACGAACTGCATTTCAACTTTGCTTAGGGAAGGGTGGGGAGGAGGTGAAATATAAAAATATTCAAGCAGTTTATTGTCTATACATCCTAGGATGAATTCATTATTTGGCAAGATTGTTTTTCCTACATAATTATCACCTGAGTGCTTTTTAATTAGCTAAAATGTTTTACTTTTCAACTAAAAGCAAAGAATATACAGTATATTTGAGCTATACTGAAGTTACAACTTCATTTAAGAAAATAGGTTTGACCCAAAACTCAGTGCAAGTGGCAGAGTTGACCATGACTGTACAGTATCTGCGAGAAAAACACAAACCCACAATACTCACATGGCACCAGCGGATGGTGCCAAAACCAAACCAAACAAAAAAAAAGGCCTGAAGTAAAACCTCAAAAAAAGCTTCCAACATTGACTTCTATTCATAAATAAGTACAAAGTGAAATTGAACTGTGAAGCAAGAAAAATGACCATGACAGTTACGAAACTAGTTCTAGCCTCAGAGACAAAAGAAGAGGAATGTTGAAACCTGTTTATCAATGAGAAATGAAGTTTCCAGTTTTAGAATGAGAAAATTGAGGCATGCAGGACTTTTGCATATGGAGAGATATATATATTTTATATATATATTATATATAATATGTACAGTCTAGCTATAAAACTTTGATGTGTATAGAAGCTGTCTTCAATGAAAAAAATTGAACATTCAGAAGAAATTCCTGAGATAGGGTTTGTGACATGGGCCACTGAGAAAAAAAATCCGTGGTTGGGTCCTAGAGGTGTTTAGTCTATCCCTGTTAAGATTGAAATTAACCCACAGACAGACAGTGTCATCACTGTTGTCTTTCCTTGCCTGAGCAAGGGGTAGCACCATTGTGAAGGTAACTATTTATCACTCCTGCTTGAAGAGAGGAGGGAATACTTAGAAACAGTATTGCTGCTAAGACCTCTGTAGTGTGCACCAAATTCCTTCTTGGTTCTTCAGACAACAGATGAACAGCGCCACGGGCTGACCACAGAACACCCGGGTGGGGGAGGTGTGAGAACCGGGAGGCAGGCTGAGTCACTAAGTATAATCTTTCCTGGGCTGTTCGTCAGTTGTACACTTATCAGTCATTTCCTGGCAGAAGTCCACAGTCACTGTCTGGCTCCTGGGTTCAAGGGGAGGTCCTCTCTCTGAGAAGGTTCCAGGGTCAGGGCCTTCCAGCCTCCTCCCAGAAGTACAATTCTCTGAGGCGTTGCTGGGTGCCCAGGGCGGGCCAGGGGGAGCTGCGCCCTGCTCCAAGCAGCAGGGCACACTGTCCCCCACCGCACACTGGGAGGCAGCAAGGTTCTGCTCGACACCCAAGGGCGCAGGGTTAATACTGGAGGCTGTGGGGAGACCCATGGGTCTGAGGACAGGGCAGTACCGATGCAGGGCCTGGATCTGCTCGGGGCTCTGGATGTCTCGGCAGACTTCCTGGGAGAGGCAGGAGAAGTTGTCCAACAGCTCCCCCATGCACGCTTTCAGCTGATTCCTCTCTGACAACAGCTTCTCTTTCTCACACACCTGGACAACAGAAAATAGAGAAGGCCCAGTGAAGCCCGAATCGGAGGACATAAGACCTCGTTTCTGGGGGTTTTCCAACCTTTGTTTTTGTATCCTACATTACAGTGTAACTCCTGAATGAGTAGGTCAGGATCTACAAACTTAAAAAATATACATCTAGGGAGCCTGGACACAAACTTGTGCCAAGTATCCCATCCGGAGGCAGATGTGCCACTGACTCCGACACCTTCCCTGTGGCATCTCTTCATTCCTCTCTCTCTGGGCCTGGCCACGCGACCAGCAAAATCACCACCAACCAGAAAACTACAGGGAGTCCAGGGTTCAGTTCCCTGGAATTTGGGGGTTTGCAGAGAATCAGTTGGAAAACTCTCAGTCCCAAAGCCCGTAGTTGAAAATCTTCCCCAAGTGTATTAGGTTGCCATTTTTGAAGGTCAAGAATAATCAACCAGGGGCCAGACCCGTGGCCAAGTGGTTAAGTTCACATGCTTTGCTCCGGCAGCCCAGTGTTTCGCCAGTTCGGATCCTGGGTGCGGACATGGCACTGCTCATCAGGCCATGCAGAGGCGGTGTCCCACATGCCACAACTAGAAGGACCCACAACTAAAAACATACAACTGTGTACTGGGGGGGTTTGGGGGAGAAAAATCAGGAAAAAAAATCAACCAATTTCAACCATATGACATTCTGGAAAAAAGCAAAGCTATGGAGACAGTAAAACGATCAGTGGTTGCCAGGGATCAAGGGGCAGGCGGGATGACCAGGTGAAGCACAGAGGATTTTCAGGGCAGTGACAGTACTCTGCGTGACACTATAATGGTGAATATATGTTATTATACGCTAGTCCAAACCCATAGAATGCACACCACCAACAGTGAGCCCCATGTAAATTATGGGCTTTGGGTGATAGCGATATGTTCATGCAGGTTCACCAACTGTACCAAATGTACCACTCTGGTTGGGGATGCTGATAATGCGGGAGGCTGTGCACGTGTGGGGGCAGGGGGTATATGGGAACTCTGTATTTTCCAGTCAATTTTGCTGTGAACCTAAAACTTCTCTAAAAAAGAGCCTGTTTAAAAAAAACCCAATGAAAATTACAAAAAACAAATTGATCATTGGCAATTTCACATGGTTCAACCCAATGTCTGCAGGCTCTGTGGCCTTTGCAGCAGACAGACTGAACACAACGATCCTCTTTAGGACAACTGGAGACTGTGCATGAGTCTCAAACACTGACTCTCCCTGGCCACAGAGAGGGCAGACAGAGAGGTGTGGAGACCGAGCCTAGCGTACTAGTCCAAGGTTCTGAGATGTTTTCCGTCAAGAAAATCCCACATAAGCTCTTGTGTTACTGAAATTCATCACCCCATCAGAGAGATGAATTTCGCCACCAGAGGGGAGACTGACTACGGTTTTACATAACTACTTGTGTGAGGAGAGGGGAGGTGGCGGCTCCATGAGGCACACAGAATGACATGGATGAAGAAACCGGACATCTGAAGCAGCGTGAAGTGAGTCCACACCACCCCTTTGCAAGGGTGAGCAGGAAGGGGAGGAGAGGACGGGAGAGAACATAAAGTGGGCAGGGGGAAGCAAACATCTGACACGGGGCCCCCTACACGGGAGCCGCATGCATGAATGTGAATGCAATCTGGCAGGCGGTGTGGGCGTGTGTGTCGGAGACAGAGATTTACACGGGGAAAGGGCACCTGCTAAAATATTTATAAATTTATCAAGAAAACATGTTTTAAACATGAAAAATAAACAGATGTACAAGTGCAACTCGAGAGAAATACATTATGCAAGTCTGCAAAAGCTGAGCGGGGTGCGGGAGACAGCGTGGGAGTGGGGAGTGAGTGTGTGTGTGCTACGGACTCGCAGGGTGGCATCGGCCCGCCAGCGCCATCCCTGCCACTGGGACCAGGCGAGTGAGCACAGCACCCCAGCCAGAGGGTGACGGGTAAGAAACAAAACACATCTGGGAGGTCTCCTTGGGGAAAAAAAAAAGTCTTACACAACCTGGACCTCCTTCCCCATGACCTGGAAGTCTGCAAAGTGAGAGGAACACCAGCCATTCCCAGGACGGGAATCTCAGTCTCAATTTCACCACATCATCTTGGCCAAGCCACTCCCCCCTGACCCCCAGAACTGATCTTCAAAACGTTCCGGGCCACTTCCTAGGGGGGAAGAAACTGAAGGGCAGTGGGTGACAGTGTCTTGGCTCTCTGCAGGAAAGGCAGCATAAATCAGGGCCTTAGTTAAAAGCATGAAGCTCCAAGTCACAGATGTACCTTGATGAATACGTGAAACTCTCCCTCAGCAGTGAAACGCGGCACATTATTTAAGGGGTTTCCAAAAAAGTGGGGGGGACAACTAGGAGGTGTTCTCTTGGTTTTTCAGCTGAGCAATATTAGCCAAGTGTTTTAGATACCTGCCTGGCGTGTGGCTTAGACTTTCTTACTTGTTCAGTATTACAGAACTACATGGAGAAAGATGCTACCTACAAAAATCAGGCAGTTCTCAAGTACGGCGATTAGTGTTATTCTAGTACCTGAAGAGGAGCACGGGGCTGGAATCATCACAGACACGTGCTTAAGGCCTTGATGACTCGCACCCAGTGGGCGCAGCCTTCCTGGTTCCCTATCTAAGCCCAGAGGCTTCCAGAGGACCCACACTCAGCAGCAGCAATGTCTTGATTCCTTATATGGCTTAAATCAAAAATTGCTATTGTTGTTCAAACAACATGAAATAAAAATTTGAAAGAAAGGAGGGATTCATAATCTCATGACCCAGTCACAATTTCCAATAAATTTCAGGGCAACAGATATTTCTTGAGAGGCTTCAATTGGCCTGCACTGGAGATTCAGAGATGATCAAGACACTGTCCTCGTTCTGAGGAACCTACCATCTAGTGCCAGGGGCTGGGCAGACACACACATACACAGATAACACAAGATGAACGTGATAAACATGAAGCCAGACGTCAGATGAGGGCTCCAGGGGCAGGTGCCCAGCCTCACGGGGGACTCTGGAAAGGGGCTTCCTGGAGAAGTGACAGTAACCTGTCTCTTAAAGAACAAAGGATGCAGTTAGAGAAGAAAACAGTCAAGGAATGTCCAGGGTAGAGGCGAAACGGCAGAGGCACGAGCCCAGAGGTATAAACCGTAGGAGATGCGGGGAAAGTGCAGTTGGTGGGATTTCAGAAGGGGGCCAGTCCCAGGAAGGGGGGGCAGCTACAGACTGAATCGCAGACAGCACGCTGTGCCTTGCCAAGGAGCTTGGGCTTTATTTTGTAGGTGATGGGGGCCACTGACCATGAGCAGATTTTCCCTGCTTGGTGGGTATTAACTAAATTAAAAAAAGAAAGACCCTGAGGTCCAGGACTATCTTGACAACACGTAACATTTACTCACACTTTTCAAACATCTTCTCTTGCTCTTAGGTTCTCATTAGGACCGCGGCTTACCATGAGGCTAAGGATTGCCACGTGCAGTCTGAGGACCCACAGTTAGATCATGACCGCATTAGGGGGCTTCCCTCCTCTTCAGCCTGACCCAGACACGGCACCTGAGATGAGCTGCTGCTACTGGGCCAGCAGAAAGGTGGAGGTGAATGAGGGTGTGCTGGCTGCCTTCAGAGCCACCATCAGGAGCCAGATGCCACCTGGATTTACTTCTTGTCGCTTAAAGTTGCTTAGCAAGGAGAAGGGGGCACGGACGTCTGAGAGAGAGAGCTTCCTCCCTGAGACAAAACACTCTCAGGCACAGGGAAGAGGTGACAGCCACTTGGAGGCAGAACTGCAAAATCAAGGACCCAGGGGCTGCAAAGGGCTTCACGAGATCATGGGGCAGTGGGCAGGGATGTCTCTCTAACTACACTCTTCTGTGGGGGGTCAGGAAAAGCAGTGGTGAAAACACACGATCTGGAGCCAGACAACCGGGTTTGCACTCAAGCTCTGCCACGACCTGAGGAGTTACTTACGCTCCCTGCCTTCTGCTTTCCTCCTCCATAAATGGAGATAAAGTGGAGCTGAAGTCATAGCGTTTGATGTAAGCATTAAATGTGCTCATTGCAAAAACAGTTTAGCATAACACCTGGTCCATAGATGCGTGCAATAAATGTTAGCTCTTAGTACATGTTGAATGGAAAAGAAAAAAGAACTCTATACGTACGGCTGAAGGATATAAAATGTTCACACACTATTATACACCCACACAGACACACATACTGCAGATAGAAAGCTATTATTTCTGTTGAGAAACTTGTTTAAAAATAAACCCTAAGGCCAGCCCTGTGGCCGAGTGGTTAAGTTCATGTACTCCACTGTGGTGGCCCAGGGTTTCGCTGGTTTAGATCCTGGGTGCGGACATGGCACTGCTCGTCAGGCTATGTCGAGGAGGCATCCCATGTGCCACAACTAGAAGGACCCACAACTAAAATATACAACTATGTGCTGGGGGGATTTGGGGAGAAAAAGCAGGAAAAAAAAAAAAAAGATTGGCAACAGTTGTTAGCTCAGGTGCCAATCTTTAAGAAACAAAACAAAACAAAACCCAACTTCCCTGAATGGTGACCCTTCTCTCTGCTTCTCCAGCCTTCACTACTGTAACTTTGCATCAGTCCTGGGTACTGAACGCAACGGACAGGTCAACTCACCAGTTTGCGGATTTCACATTCTAAATTCTGAATACAGTCCAGCTTCCTCTTGCGGCAGCGCTGGGCCGCGATGCGGTTCTTGCTGCGCCGCCGGACGTCGTGAATGAACTCTAACTGTTCTGAGGTTAGCTTGTGCATCTTAATCATCATCTGGAAATCGTTCCTTGGGAGGTCTGTGATTTGATCTACAGGAAAGGGAAGTTTGACCTGAAACCAAGAATAACAGAATATGATTATGGCAGCTGGATTTTAGTTTAATTCTGGCAGATAGAACACCAAAAAATGGTAAAACCTCCTTTTAAAGATGATCAAGTAATATGGAAATTACTGAAAGCAAGAAGTGATTAATTCTTTCCTGTTTCAGATACAAATAAGATGTAATATTCAGATAATCAAAGAGAACATGAACACACAAATTATAATGTCATTATCATTCCTGAGATTTTTGAAGCAAAAGGCATGGAAAATATCAGAAAATGTATAATTTTTCATTGCTATAGCACCTTTGAAGAGGGTTTTGTAGTTAGTTGAAACCTACTTCCATAAGACAAACAGCCTCAACTCAATAAAATGACAATTTACAGACAGATAGCATCTAAGGAATTATCTAAAACACTTGAATGAAGAGAGCATGGCACACCTGGAAGATGCTGGAAAGATGAAGCAATCAGCATGATTCTTGGTGACAACAGCATCAAGGGAGATACAGGGAGATAACCTGGATAGGCTACACCAGTGTGGACCAGGAGTCAGAACCAAGCTGCGGTCCTTCCTACCAGACCTGAGACCTCAGGCCAGTTACTTCACTTCTCTGAGCCTCAATTTCCTCATCTGCAAAACGGAGCGTGCTTTTTAGCTGCACGGCGCTAGACAAGTTTTAGGCACTTTGGCAGACTGTATTTTCCTAAAAACACCATGGTCATCCCATCTCACATTTTCTTTTACAACATCGTGTTGACCTTCCTCTATCAAGAGGTGGGATGCATGTTCCAGCCTCTTGACCAATACAATGCAGCCGGAGTGATGGTGTGTAACCTCTGAGGCCAGGTCATAAAAGGTGTTGCAGCTTCCTCTGAGACTGCTCTCTCCCCAGCTCCCATGCCTCACGGACACTCAGGCAGCCCTGTCAGAGGCAGAGAAGAACTGAGGTCTCCAGCCAACAAGCAGCATCACCTTGCCAGTCATGTGAAGGAGCCACCCTGGAGGTGGATTTGCTGGGCCCAGTCAGACCTTCAGATGACTGAAGCCCCAGCCAACATCCAACTTGAACCTCACGAGATATCCCTAACCGGAAGTGCTCAGATGGGCCACTCCTGAATTCCCGAGCCACAGAAACGGGGAGAGATGCTAAATGATTACTGTTGTTTTAAGCCATGAAGTTTTGGGGTGATCTGTTATGTAGCCATAGATAACTGATGCATAATAACATTATCAGCAAGATTCCTACTTTCAAACTCTTGACAAATCAAGGCATAAAGCTTTATCCAAAGAGAGGACACTGGCCTCTGATGGGATGGATCTCTGTCCTCATATTCTGCTAAATGCTTGCTTACAACCCCGTGGTGGTTTGAAATATTTCTTAAGAAAAGAACTGCAACCGTCTAGGGCCTCGTCAGCACCCATGAGGTGACAGAATGACGAGAACACAGGCCTGCACCTTCCAGCAGTTGGCCACCACCCCCTCCAAGACTCTCAGTGATGACGCAGGGATTTCAGGGCTCAGTTCTGGTTCTGTTTCAGGAGCTCCTGGAGGAGGAAGGTTGTGTGTTGCTTGGCCAAGGGATGCAGTGTCTCCTAGCTCAGATCGCTTCAATCGTGCTTACAGTAGTGTCTACTTTCGATGGCCCAGCAGATGGCACTGTAACCCCAAACTTCCTTCCAGCGCCCGCCCAGCGCTGTCCAATGCAAACAACGCGAGCTGTGTACGTGCTTTTACATTTTCTAGTAGCCACGTTAAAAGAAGTGAAAAGAAACAGGTGAAATTAATTTTAATAATATATTTAGTTTAATGCAATAGATCCAAAATATTTTCAACATGTAATTGATACAAAAATCACTGCGATGTTTTACTTTTTGGGGGGCACTCAATTTTCAAAATCTCAGGCATATTTTACACTTCCAGCACATCACAATTGAGACCAGCCACATTTACAGGGCTCAACAGCCACATGTGGCGTGTGGTGACTGTATTGGACAGCACAGCTCAAGAAGACTGAATAAACAGACTCAAGTGAACTTGAGTAATCAGAAAAACGATGGGCGGGTCTGGTTTCATCAAAATACTTTTGGGTAAAGAAACCAACCCCTTGTTAATATTCAGAAGCTGCAGTGTTCTGTCTGTGTGGTTCAGGGCAGGGAGACGAAGGTATTTTCTCCTGACCTCAGGCTTTTTCTTTGGTGGCATCAGAGGTCGGCAGACGTGAGTCCAGATCCCAGCATTTGTGGCTAGTTAATCCCCAGGCACAAAGGCAATCATGCTAAGTGATCATTTGATTTTCTGTGGGTGGGTGCAATTGCTCTGTCAGATTGCTTCAGAGCTCAGAGCCTGCTGGTTGGGGCATTTGCTGCAGGCTCCCAATGGGTGCTCTGATTCAGCTTCCATATGGTGAACTCTGTCCCATGACACCTGCAAAATCTAGGCCCAAGATAGCAAAACTGCAGCAGTGCACATGACCCCACTCTCCGCTCAGCCCTGCTCCGACTGCGGAAGATGGGCCGCCAGCACAAACAGCTCCTTGTTATGGGCCGGGAGAGGGCTTAGTCCACAGAGCCGTGTTTGTACAGGGCTTATGATGATATGAAAGAATGTTTGATTTCCCTTTTATACCCTTTGGATAACAAACAGACACTCAGATCCTGGACGGAACCTAAATGACACAGAGGTCTGTCTGCTGGGGACACGGATGTCTCCACTCCGGGCAGAAGCCTTGTCTGCAGCTCTTCTGGGCCTTGTGGATCTCCCCCTCTGCTGACAACAAAGCAGTTCGCTTCTGCTCTAACTTGTGCTTATTTCCAGAAAGAATATATACCTAGAGTTCAGGCCACAGGGAAAGTCAAAAGGCCTTCTACACCAAGAGCTATTGTACTTAAAATCATCCAGACAGTGAATATGAGAGACCAGGGAAACAGGACAGAGGTTGACAGGAAAGAGGAAAAATCAGCAACGCTAGTTTCAAAGTCCTTGAAGCAAAAGGCCATAGAAAATTTCAGCAGAGCTGTTGCAACTCCAGCTGCTTTTTAAGGAGGTCAAAGGAAAAGAAAATAGTCAGCTACAGATTTTCTTCCATGTGAAAAAAAACAAAACCCAACCACTCTTGTTTCTTTTGAAAAGGCTCTGTTTGCCCTCTAGCCAGGGAGAAGTGGCATGGACGACCAAGAGGGCAGTCCTAGGAGTGTTCTTGGAAAGTCACGGCGGTAACTTCACCACAGCTGTTTGCTATTTTCAGAGTAGTAAGTTCCAAGCCAACGGGCATCTTCCCTGGAGATAAACAGCAGCCACAGACCCCCCTCCTGGGGCTGGGAGAATATTCCATTCTCAGGCTTGGAGGCACCCAAACACTCCCCAAATGGGGCTCAAAAGTCAGCTAATGAGGGGCAAGCCCCAGTGGCCTAGTGTTTAAGTTCAGCACGCTCTGCTTTGGCAGCCTGGGTTTGGTTCTCTGGCATGGACCTACAGCACTCTGTTAGTGCCCATGCTGTGCTGGTGGCCCACACACTAAAAAACAGAGGAAGACTGGCACAGATGTTAGCTCAGGGCGAATCTTCCTCAAAAAAAAAAAAAAAAAGAAGTCAGCTAATGAGACTTGGCCTTGGAAAGCTGAGACACAATGAGAAGGTTAATGCCCTCTCCCTTTCTTCTGGTGAATTCTTACAACCCAAATAGGCCCAATAGGGCTTACCATCTTATTTACTGTCCCTGCACACACCTATTCTTCCAGGATTTTGCTTCTCAGCAGCGGTCTGGTTTTCATTCACCAGACCCTCATAAATAGTGCAGAACACCCAACTTGATAAGATGAGGAGTCCTGCCAACTGCCACCATCACCTGGCTTAAGTGCCAGCCGGCTGGCAGCTATATTCAGCCGACCACACACAGATAAGGCTAAGCATGGAAGGCATGTAGGCTAAGCAGGCTGCGGAGAAGGGGAAGGGCCTGGGATGGAGGGCACTGATTTCTCCTTAGGCTCGGGGTGGCCACACAGGGGCTGCCCTCTCTTTGGTTCTCAGCAGAGACTCGGAGAGTCAGGGGCAGCTGCTGAGTTAGCAAGGCCAGGGCCAAACGGGGCCCCTGTGTGGGCATTACAGCTCGCATAATCCGTTCCTGCTGACTCTACCCAGTGCCACAGTGCTCACTCTTCTCTTCCCTCTGGAGCACAAGAGGAGGAGCAGGACCTGCGCTGGCCTCCTGAGCAGTGACCAAAGGGGGCCAGACCATCGGGGGCTCTGGCTCTTGAGCAGTCAGTGAAATGAGTGGTCCCTGCAGTGGGCCGAGGGACCTCAGGCCCCAGGAGCTGGCAAAAGGTGGGAGGAAGCTGTGACACCTGAAGGGTCAATGAAACTTCAATATTCCTCCTCGAGGGCCTGACCAGGGGATGCCACTGGCCGGCCCCTGGGGTGCCAGCCCTTCCTTCTCACCAGGCATAAATCAGCTGTTCCACTTCTCTCCCCTGCCAACCACTACCCCGGTTCTGTGGCCAAAACCACATCCCCTCTCTACTAGTTAAACAAAAATAGCCCTTAAAAAATTATATGAGAAATATAACTCCTTGCAGAAAATTCAAATATGAGGCAAAAGAGGGGAAAAGTATTCCCCCACAAACAATGACTCTCTTGCTCTGGTGGGCTTCCCTGAGATCTGTGTTTTCTCTGCATGTGTTTACAGGGTGGTAACCAGATGGACTACAGCCACCTCCCCTCACCAGGCCTCTGAGCCCACCTCACATGCCTGGTGTTGCTGATTTGCTGGATGGGGTTACTGCAGAAGCAAGACAGGGACGTAAATGTTGCAGAAAAAAAGCATCTATTTCCTCTAGAAATCCCAGTGGAAGCAGGTCTGTGAACCTTCCTTCCTATCTTCTTTCTTGGTTTTACTACCAGATGTTGAACAGAGGCTGGAAGAATTGGATCATAACTCAGTACCCTGAGCTGTGGTAGTGCAGTCAACTCTCCAAAGCCTTTAACACCTATGCTCTTACAAGACACTCAGA